GAGTCAAACTCTCTGGATCAGTTCAGTAGGAAAGAGCGAATCGCTCTAGGAACATGCATAGAGCAGGCAGAGTATGTGCATCTGTGTGTGTGTGTGTGTGTGTGTGTGTGCACACGTGTTTTCAGTGTGGGGAGGTGTGTGTGTGTGTGTGTGTGTGTGTGTGTATTCAGCATGGGGGCTGTGCTGTGTGTGTGGAGCGTGTAGCATTTGACTGTGACTGCTGTACCAAGTGATGCACCCATACTCCAGGAATTCCATAGCCCGGGATCACTCACAAAACAGTTGGTCTCCTCCTGGGATGGCTCTGATCAGAGAAAGTTTCACCAGCTTCCCATTTGCTCAGGCCCCAAACCTAGGCCTCACCCTTCATTCCTTTCTCCTCATATCAGCATCCCGCCCAGCGCACATCCTGCCGGCTCTCCCCAGAATGCATCCTGTATCAGTCTGCTGCTCCCCACATCCACTGCCGCGCCCTGATCCTGCCAACATCCTGGATTCTGCCCTAACCTCCCAACTAGGTCCCCAGTTTCCACTCATGGTCCCCACCCCCCACCCAATTTGTTTTCCAGACAGTAGCAACAGTAATTAAAAACACAAAATCCAAAGAGCAACTGTAAACCAGATCATGTCCAGCTTCTATTTAAAACTATTTAGTGCACTTGGAATAGACCCTAACTCCTCTCCAGGGCTCTCACCCCTACACGATCGGCCCCACTGCCCAGCCACCGCTTCTCGCACCCATCTCCTCCTGGCCCGCTGGGCTCCGGCCACACTGACCTCTGAGTTCCTTGATGGCACCAAGCTTATTCCCACTGCAGCCTTTGCACAGGCTGTCCCCTCTGCCTGGAACGCTGTCCCCTCATCTTGGCACGGCTGGTTCCTTTCTGTCACTCAGGCCTTGACTGAAAGCACACTGTCTCAGTGCACTGAATGCCCGTGCTACAGCAGACACCAGTCATGCTCTATCATAATTTCCTGTGTTAGTCTACATCGCTTTTATTCCAGTCTGATAGCTCCTTGTTCATTACTTCATGCATTCAACAAACATTCACTGATCACTTCTAGGACTAGCCAGACTAGGCATGTGTTTATTCTCCCTGAATAATGTGTCTATCTCCCCTGAATAACATGAAAGCCTATGAAGACAGGGGCCTTGACTATAGCCTCAGGGCCTGGCATGGAGAAGGCATTTGATAAATATTTGATTTGCAGAATGAATCAGAGCTGCATGGTGATGTGTACTCAGGAAATCAGAATTGGCTGATACAACTTCTTGCTTGGGTTTCATGGCTTTGAGGCAGCCAATATTCCAAAGTGGCCCCAGGGCTGGGATAAATCATTCCCTGTCTGCATTTTTCCAGGCTAGCCACAACTCCCTCCCTGTTTGTGTATTGAGCCAGTATTTATTAAGGGCCCACTGTGTGCAGACCTACGCTTAGAGTCAGTCTCTGTCCTGCCCAGCTCACCTAGCTGCTGGCACTCAAATGGCAGGTCCTCCCCTACACACTTGTAACCCCCTTCTGTCCAGGTTTCCTGGATATCCAGGGTTTTGGTGTAACCCCTAGAGATAGCACTCAGGGAGCCAGCCATGCCCTGCCTTCTGGGGCCTGTGTGCCAGCCTCATTTCCCTGGCCCCACTTCTCAAGCAGTGTGTTTGCCTATTTGTCCCTGCCCTGTGCCTAGCCTGATTCCATCCCAGGTCCCCACCATCAGCAAGCCATTCAGCACACTGGCCAGGAAGAGGGACTGTTAGCAGGAAAAGGCTATATCACACCAGCTCTGGCACTTGCCAGCTCTGAGATCCTGGACAGGTCACTCTACCTCTTCCAACTTCAGCTTTCTCCTCTGCAAAATGAGGACTACAACAGCACTGGCCTCTGGGGTTGTTACAGTTGGTCCCTCCATTGTCCCCCGTACCTCCCTGCTATGGGCCCACAAGGTCTCACCAGTCCCAGCTCAAAGGACAAGTGAGGAGGAAACAGCTCTCTTTGGACATTTCCATGGCTAATCTCATTACCAGAAATTACTAGCAAAAAAAGGATGCAATGCAATTCAGGACAACAAACACATACAATTCAAACAACAAATGTATAACTGGGCTGGGCACCAGGGACACAGAAAAAATCAGACATCATACCTGAGGAATGTAGTCAAAAGGGGGAGGCAGACCTGCAAACAAAACAGCAGAGCAGACACATGCTCTACCCTCCAGGCCGTTACCAAACAGGGGCACGGGGAAGACAGACAATGGAGCTGCCGTTTCACCGGGGCTGGGGGTGATCCGGACAAAGGGGAAGGATGATACGTTTGGCCCCCTCCATTTCCCAAATGCTCTGTGCCAACTGCAGTCCTTGAATTACCAGGACAGGTGAGTGAGAGGGGAGAGTCTGATCTAAAACAAAGGCTAAACAAATAGTTCCCCCAACAAATGACCTTGCATACCTCCTATCGTAATTCATGCAGGTATATTACCTGCTCTCTCCCTAACACAACAGCATGGCAGCTGCCATTCTGATTCCCTAAGATGCTGCATCTACCTGCCTTTTGCCCTGAGAGGTGGCTCAGGGAAACAGCCCTGGCTCTCAGCCTTAGGAAACAATGGAGAGGTTTCTCAGAAAAAGAAGAGGGATGTGTTGTTGTCCTGAGTTCCCTGTTCCTTGGTGGCACATAATCTTAGCTCCCTGGCATCTCTTGGGTTCCCATCAGCTAACTGCCCACTGAGGTGGCAAAGACAGCACCTAATCCAGAGTGACTGGAGGAGCAACATAAGCCATGGCTTGGATTAACCAAAGAGTAAGTGGCCAAAGGCATTCTGCAGGGCAGCCTTTAGGGTCTGCTACATGTCCCTTCCCTGATGGGCTCTTCCAAGTTCCTAATGCAACACCTTTGACAGAGGAGAAAAAAGAAAGAAAAAAAAAAAATCCCTCTCTTGTTTTGAGTGACAGGTGGTAGGTTGAAATTGTCTTGTTTAGGTCAGTGGGGTATGGTGGTGAAGAGCATGGCCTCTGGGGCCAGATTGCTTAGGTTTGATCCTAGCTCTGCCACTTAGCTGTGCATCAACCCTGTATAAACCATTCTACCTCTCTATGCCTCCCTGTCCTCATCTATAAATAAGAACAACAGTACCTACCTCAGTGGGTAGCTGTCAGGACAGAAAGGGTTAACATAAGTACAGCATTTAGAGCAGTGCAAGGTGAATACGCCCATGCCTTTGAATGGGTCCCGGGTGGGTCTTCCATCCCAGGCTCCCCAAGGAGCTATGGGAGGTTTGTCCTCATTGTAGCAAAGACCCACCCACAGTAGTGAAGACTCAGCCACCCTGAGCAGTGCTTGTCAAGACAAATGGAGTGGTCCAAGGTATTGCTCTGGCTGATGCAGTCCCTCTGTTCTGGCAATACACAGCCACCCCTGGAGAACACTGCCCGATGCTTCATTGATGGCCCTGCCCTGCCTCCGAGCAGGACCCTTAGACACCCCCAGCCCTCTGTGCTACCTCTGCCTTCACTGACCATGCAGCTTAGAGGGGCCATTGAGAGTTATGGTATCACTGACAATAAGGTCTATGCATCATGAGAAGACTCAAAACTCATCCCTCTGGGTCCTCACATAGCTCCCAGCAGTCCAAGAAACAGTAACAGCATCTAAATGATGGAAAATTCATTAGAAAAAGAATCTCCAAGCAACTTTTGAAAAAAGCTTCACTGCTCAGATGAACTTGCAATCACAGGGCTGGCAGCAACTGCAGAGACCAGTGGCTTCCAAACTTGCTTTCGACCTCCAAAGCCATGGCTCAGTTGAAATTCACCCAGAAGTCCAGTACATAAAACTGATACAAATGGGGCTGCTCTGGTGGAAATAGTGCCCGCGCTGCCTGTTTGGCACCCTCTCTCCATTCCCTCAGCCCCTGGTGGCCCCCAAGGCGACTCCAAGGAACCCCTAAGACTCCATGAAGCACTGATGGAAAACCACTAAACTAGGCTAACCTCCTGAGCAGATACGGGAAAGTCAGTCCCACAGAAGTCAAGCTCTGAAAGGCGCCTGAACACAAACCTCGTTTTCTGACACGGGGCTAGCACTTCCCACTCCACTTTGCTAGGGCTAGATCTATGGAAAATTGCAATTTAAAGAAACAAGGCTCATTTCTGATCACCTAAAATATAATCCCTGAGTGTTTTAAAGGCCCCTGAACCAGCCAAGTAGGAAACAGAGCCCAGCCCCACAGACTGGCAGAAAGAAGTTCGGAAATGAGTTGCAGAAGCACATCTGACAATCCCATACAGTTTCCGTCAGTTCCGTGGGACATAAACAGGTCTTGAAAGGCTTGGGCTGTGTGGCTGAGAGAGACCCCGGACCAGGCGGGCCAGGAGGTGAATGCTAATGAGCTATGGAAATAGCAATTACTTCCCCCATGTCAGGCACCGTGCCAAGCTAAGGAGGATAAAGAGGTCTGAGATATTTTTAAAGTATTTTTACAGCAGAAAAACTTTCCTACAGACTCAATTATATAACTATCAGACTCCACCTCCGAGCTGAAATTATCCATGGCCTCAGGAAAAAAAATTCATTTTTTCCTACAGGAGGGTCACAGGTTTCTCCAGAGAAACTCTTAGCTGTATGGCCAGTGACCCAGGGCAGCTGTGAGCCATCGGTCCAGAGACATCCCCAAGGGCAGTGTGAAGCCGGCCAGAGAAGAATCCTGGCCAAGCGGAGGGCAGAAGTCACACTGCTGATCCGGCCATCATGTGTTATTATGAGGTGGGATCTAGGAAGGTCCACTCCAGGGGCTTCTGACCCCAGCCAGGGAGCACCCTCCCCACCCCCTCCTACCACAACGGGGCTGAAGGAGTGAGGACGCCTAGAGAACATGACATCAACTCACAGGAACTCTGAGGCAGGCACAGTGGAGATGGTTGGAGAAAGGCGGGGCTTAAGGAATGAAGAACCTCACCAATAAAATAACAGCCAAAATCAAAGGGACAGACTTAGGAAAATTAACTTACAGCCCAGGTTTTTGTCAGCCTGAAGATGGGAGCACTTTGTAATGCTGACACCACAGACATGAGAGAATGAAGGTTGTTGAGTTCTAGAAGTTTCTGAAAAAGATATGGAATAGATTATTTTGCTGCTATAAACAACAGAACAAAAAACATGCTCGAGTGATACCAAATGCTGTCATATTTATGAAATTCAATTACACTTAAAAATATCGCATGTAGAAAATATAGTTCTAGGAAGTTCATAGAAACCATATGCTTTTTTTCTTTCCTCTTAAATTGTCAAAAGGTGAGTCTGCATTTAAACATTTGCAAAATTTCATAAGCCAACTAGTCTGGCTGCTGGACAGAAATGTGGCTCAGGATAAGGTTTGATAATGTGCTTTATGTTCTTTTTATAGATGAATCTGAATACTGTCCCAGCAGGCTTTTATAAGCTAAAACCCTGGCTGTGCTAATAGTATCAATGTGGGGCTTCTGTGATTATCCTAACGCCCAAAAGAGAAAGAGGCTAAGGAAACATGTTGCCCTCCCAGCGGAAGCCAGTGCCCTGGCTTCCCAATCACTTGACCACGCGCCTTTGAACCAGACCCCAACTTGGTGAGAACATTTGGATTCAATTCGGTCTCAGACAAGTTCCTCGCCATGAGGCACAGCAGAATGAGACACAGTTGAGTGGGCAGCAGAGAATGTAATCGCTCCGTTCTCGGTTTTGTGCTGAGGGAAACCTGCTAACAGCACCGGGGGCCCATTTCTCATTCTTGGGAGTCAGTGGAGCTTGGGTTATCGAGCAGGCTCTGGGGACCCAAAAGACCAGTTCCCACTACTTGTGTGCCCTTCAGCAAGTTACCTCATCCTTCTGAGCCTCGGTGCCCTCATACTTAAGACTAGGAAGGCAATTCACGGCACCTCCGCTACATGAGACAGTGCGTGTCAACTGCCGAGACTTGTCTTTGGTGCTTGCGAGCTCAGGTGCCACTTCCACTTCCTCTAACATGCCATTCCCAACCACATTCCCAGATCCGAGAAGGCAGGGGACTCTGCCTCTGCCTTCCCACAGCCACGTGTGCCTGTCCCCAGCACGTGGGATTGGACTGGCTTTTTACCTGCCTCTCCCTCACCCTGTTCCGCATGTTTCCTGAGAGCAGGGACAAGGCTTTACCAGCCATCGTGCCCCAGTGCCTAGCACTGTGCGCACCACACAGTAGGGCCTTGTGAAACAAATAAGCAAATGCAAAGCCCTTATGCTAGTCTAGTCCTCACTGCTCCGTTCCTACGGGGAAATTTCTCCCTCCCCACACAAGTTAATACTTCATTTCATGCATCTTGTAACATTCTCTAGTTGTTTCTTGTGTGTGAGAAGAGATTCTCTGAGTGAACTGAATTCCACTCTATGTATCTGAATTGCTATGCCTGTCACAGAATTTCTTTGTAGAGATGAGAGGCCTCTGGGAGATTATATAACCCACCCCTTTCATTTTATAGATGGGGAAGCCAAGGCCTAGAGAAAGGGAGGGGCTTGCATGAAGAAAGATGGGCACCGTGCCAGCGTGATGGTGCACCACAAGGAAGAGGGCAGAGGTTAAACAGGGATCATTCTGGACTCCGTGGCTGGGTGGGAACCATAAACTCATTTTCAAACTGAAAGCCCCAGGAGGGGTGGAACCACATCCCACTTTCTCTTGTGGCCCAGCACAGAACTGATCAACAGCGATAAGTATCACTAATCCCAGCACCAGGTCCAAGCATTTCAGGAGAATCACGGGAGGCAGAGTGGGCGATGCCATGGACATTTACAGACGGGAGCACACAGACTGCTGTGCGGGCAGCCGAGCCGCTCCCTGAAGGCAGAGGCACGGCTCTGCTCCTGCTCTGCCTCTGACAGCCGGGGGCCTCGGCACGGATGCTTCCCTCGCCAAGCCTCCCTTCCTCCTCAGCAAATGGAGCAACAACGAGGTGATCAGCGGATCTGATCGTGTCAGTAAAGCAGCTGCTATGGTGCCCAGCTCGTAGGGGCCACCGTGAAGGGCAGCTTTCCTAGGATCTGGGGGGAAGACGACACACGTACACACGAAGCAATCAGTGAACCGCATACAACGCTGCTGAGAGCCAGGCGAGCCCAGGTGCTTGTATGGGGCAGTGTATGGGAGGTGCTGCCTAGGAACGGAAGTGGTCCAGGGAGGCCCATGGGGTGACACAGCCTGGGGTGCCAGAGATGAGGGAAGAAGAGGGAAAAGGTGGTGCCCAACAAGTGGCAAGGACAGAACCCATCAGGCCAAGGCATAGGAAGTAGAAGTGGGCGCTGCAGGGTCATCTGGTCCAGGCCCTAAGCTCAGGATGGGGTAGGGTGGGCTCTGTTGACTGGTGACAAAATTGTGCAGGATGTGATGGTACCACAAGCATTGATGTTAACTAAAACCCATCAACCCTTAGAACTGGCTAAATCTAAAGCAGGAGAATGGATAGATTCCAGGGGTAGCCACTAAGACCTGTCTTGTGGGGGTCTCAGCCCAGGTAAGGAGAATGGTTGGCTGCCAAAGCTATGGGGTGGAGGGGCATGCTGCCAACTCATGCACAGGATGCTGGGGGGGTGGGGAGCCAGGCAGGTCTGACAGCTGGGAAAGTCAAGCCATAGCACCCCCGTTTGCACCCTGCCCGGCAGGTCCAAAGCAAAGCAGCTCCCAAAGTACCAAGGAAACATATTTTTGAGACAAAAAAAAAAAAAAGTAAAAAGGAGGGAAAGGAGGAAAAAAATAATAAAACAGCTTACCTTGGCTATTTTCACAAAATGGCTCAGGATTTCTGCCCTTATTTTTAAAGTCTGTGCTGTTAGAATTTCTCGTACAACCCAAAAACTGACCTGTAGAGTCAAATACACACACATACACACACACACCAGAAAAGCTGTTAAATGCAGGACCACCCATGTCACCCTCGCCCACCACTCCTAGGGGATTTCCACGAGGTCAGGAAATAGGGAGAACACAGTCTCGGGAGTTCCTTTATGGTGCCCAACCCCGCAAATGGGTCCTGTGTTCTCAGCACCCCTCTCTAACACACACAGAAGTGCTGAGAGAATTAGCAGTTTCATCATCACACAGGGAGTCTAGGGCCCCCGAGATGCACAGGGGTCTCTATAGGTGCTGTGGGGAATTCCAACATGCATCAGACGGGATTCCTGCTCAGAAGGACCCCAGTTGTGGGAGACCATGGATGATGGGTGGATGGATGGAGAGATGGACAAATGGCCAGACAAAGGGAGACACATATATATTGGCAGTACCACCCATGAGGTCCGTATCCTCAGCCGGCCCAAGATAAGGAGGATTCACCAATATTTGCACAATGGTAACAAATTTAATTTTCTAGGAGAGGTTCATCCAATGATTTAACTGTTATGAAAGTGTCTCAAAGTTCCATAAAGTAATGTAGGATAAGGGGCATGTTTTTCTGGAGATAGCATGTGCCAAAAGGGTATGCTAGAAGCTTTGGTTCAGAACCTCATTCATGCTTGACCTCTCACATACGTTAACAGCCCTGAACCTCTGAGCCTGATGGTGCAACAAGAATTAGTCATCTACCAGTGTTGAGTTGACTCACATGGTACCTCAATGAAACATAGACGGGCTTCAGGCCAAGAAACGCTGGGAAGTGACTAGCCTTTCCTGTTTATGCTTCACTGCTGTAACAACAGTTCTACGTGAAACATGGATGCCCAAGGGTACAACAACAGCACTGCAAAGAAACGTGGAGAGACGAGCAAAGCACGGGGCACATGTAGAATTAAGAGAAGGGTGAGACATCTAAAACCCCTATATTTTATAAGGAAAAAAAATAGTTAAGGATATTCCAGAGCTGAAAAGAAAGCTTACAGCTATAATAAAATATATTCTCATTACTGAGAACATATTTCACTTTTCAAAGAGAAAACAAGGGAAGAGAATAAAAGAATCAACAATTTGCCTTTTACATTAAGCAGGAGTGTTATAGAAATGTTTTCTCAACGTAATTATCTGTGGTTGCCTCCAGGACACTCCTGGGTTTCCACAGAATCATTTTTTCCAAGGAACTGCTTGACATTATGTTCAGACTCAAATGTTTACTGGCCAGTTGTGGAAGAAGGTTTTTTCTGAATCCCAAATGGCATGCCCAGAAACCCTATATTTTAATATACACACAGTTTTATGCCACACAACCTCAAGTGTGACAGTTTACATGTATAATTTAATAGATTCCTGCATGCCAAAAAACTACACATATGTATTGCACAATTATGGGACACAGCAGAGCTGCCTCTGGGTCTGCAGCACCGTGTACAGAAGCAACTCTGAGCCAACAATTTAAGTCGACAGAGATCCATGAAGCCCTACAGTGTGCAGGCTCTAGGCACTGGGAGTCCAGACCTTCTTGATATGGAGGCGACCAAAGGAAGAGGCAGAATCCTCCAGAAATCACTGTACTGGAAGGCAGTTGGTGACTGTGGCCACAGAATAAGTTGAACCAAGTGAACCAGAGTATGGGAGACGTAATGACAGAAGAAGGCTTCTTGGAGAAGGCGGGCCTTGAGAGACTGGGCAGACTTTAAACGGGTAAGATAGGATCGAGGTGCAACAGTACATGCCATGACCAGGGGCAGCCAAGGAGGCTGACAGCGCTGGTGTTGCAGGGGTGCTGTGGTGTGCAGGTAATGTGGCAGGGAGAAGTTGGGGAGGGAGGAGAAGACCAGAATGGTGTGGGGGAGGGGGTGTCTGGAGCAACAAGGTGAGGAGGAAGAGCTGCCACGCCACTCAACACAGGGAGTTTCAGAGACTCTGAGCAGAGCAGTACGTTACATCAACAGTCCCCAACCTTTTTGGCGTCAGAGACCAGTTTCACAGAAGACAAGTTTTTCATGGACTGAGCAGGGGACAGTGTTGGGATGATTCAAGTGCATTGCGGTTAGTGCACAGTCAGACGTCTCTGCTAATGACCATCTGTATTTGCAGCTGCTCCCCAGCATCACCGCCCCGGCTCCACCTCAGATCTTCAGGCATTAGATTCTCATAGGGACCATGTAAGCTAGATCCCTCACATGTACAGCTTACAGCAGGGTTCGTGCTCCTATGAGAATCTAAAGCCGCCACTGATCTGAGAGGAGGCGGAGCTTATGAGGTGATGAGAGCGGTGGTGAGCAGCTGTAAATACAGATGAAGCTTGGCTTGCTCGCCCACCGCTCACTTCCTCCTGTGTGGCCTGCTTCCTAACAGGCCACAGACTAGTGCCAGTTGGCAGCCCAGGGATTGGGGACGGCAGGGTTAGGTCCTTTGGTAGGGCAGGGACACCCATTAGAAATCGGACGCAACGGTCTCAGTGAGAGATGCAGGGCAGACCTAGGGCCACGCTCAAGGGCACGGAGAGGGCAGAAAAGACGTTACGAAGGTAGAATCAACATGGTTTTAAACATTTTCTATTCTCTTTTCTAATTACACAATTGAACAGAAGCTTAATGTAGAAAGCAAGGGAAATAGAGATAAGCACAAAAGGCAAAAAAACTCAGTCTCACCTACAGACCACTATGATACACACAATGGCATGTGTACTTTTAGACTTTTTTTCCATATATACAACATACATGTGTCCTTTTCAATTAAATTGGCATATAATAATCCTATTTCAGGAGAATTTTGTAAGTGAATATTCTCCTACAATTTCTAGTATCATAGAGAAGTACCATCATTTAAGTTAGCCTGTATTGTTAGATAGGTTATTCGTAATTATTTTATTGTGATAAACAATGCTGTGGTGAACATCTTTATACATATATCTTCCTATGCTTTTGATAAATTCCCATAAGGTGGAGTGAATAAAAGCGTAACTTTTTTCAAAAGTGTATATAAAAAGCTTGTCCTCCAAAAGGTCTATTTGTTTACCCATCAACAAGTTTAAACAGATCCACGTTCCCACATGGGCCAAAATCAGTTATTATAAAGACCGTTTTCTTTACTAACTCAATGTAAAAAATGGCATCTCACTGTTTCTACTTTGCATGTCTTTCATGACTATTCAGTGAACATTTTCTGTTCCAAACACTTATAGGCCCTTTGTATCATTTGCCTTCTCAGTTTCCTGCTCAGGTCCTTCACCCATATTTCTAGTGGGACACTGGTCCTCTTATTATTATCTGATAAAAGCTCTTTGTATATTTAAGAAAATGCATTTTGCGAGTCATATATTACACCAAGAGTATGGAGAAATTGGCACTCTTATATACTGTTTGGGGATTTAGGAATTAATAGGAACATTTTAAAGAACTATTTGAATATATCTCTCAAGATGTTTAATGTGTATTCTTCCTAGAATATTTATATTATAAAAATATAGGAATACAGAAACACATGTACAAGGATTCACTGAAATACTGTTTATAAATGTAAAAGAATAGAAAAAATTGGTCCCATAAATGATAACACCCCCTCAAACTTTGGAAGAAAGTCACTCACTATACTCAGCCCACATTTCAAAAATGGAGAGTTATGTTCTACCTTTTTGAGGTATATCTACATAAATTATTGGAATTATCTTCTACCTTTTTGACGTATATCTACATAAATTATTTGGAATTCCTCTGCATGGGAGATTTGTCTATTCTCCCCCATTTATGTATTCAATCATTTATATCAGTATGGACTCATGGATACTTATTTTATACTTTGGGTTATAATCCAAGACTGAGAGCTCTCTCAGTTGGCTCTTGTGTCCCTTTGACATACTCCCCACATTATTCTGGTTTGATAGTTTGAGCATGTACTTACTTTCTGGCACTACAGGTTCATTTTGTACATTTCTTGCCCTAGACCTAAAGTCAACCATTTTTCCAAGGAACCCTGGTTCATTTTATTAGCTAATAGTATTAGAAACCAAGATTAGCACCAAACAGGTGGTAGGTGTGCTTGCTGCTCCTGGGGTATCACTGTTTCTAGGTCCTCTCAGCTGGCAGAGCAAGGAAATGTGTGGTGTACACTAACCCACGTATATACACATATCTATAAATGTTTCTACATGAAACCATCTGTATCTATATTAAGCTAAACATGAGCTCACACTGATATCTCCAACTCTAATCCATTGCCATATGGACCATTCTATCTTTCTCCCCTTGCTTGTCTGTAATTTCCCACACCAACAGTGAGAAACCTGGCTCCCACCATCTGCCGTCCATTTCCTTAATTGTGCGATTGCCAAATACACACACAGTAGTTTCAGAATTGTTACCCATTCCCCCTTAGGGAACAACTCTATCAAACAGAGCACAGTGCTTATATACCATCCCTTCGTCTTTAGTCTTACAGGCTCCACTCTATTCCAAATTTACTTAGGTCAGCAACTTTCCCCCTCATCCTCCTTCGTGAAGTTGTTTCATGCATTTATTATGGTTAGATTCTTTTGTTACATTGTGAATTCCATTCTAAGACCCCTTGATCTCCGAGTTGAATTTTTAAAAATGCGCATATATTATGATTTCCTTTTGGTGCTATAAAGTTCTATGGGTTTTCACAAATGCATGATGTCATGTATCCATCATTACTGTATCATACAGAATAGTTTCACTACCTTAAAAAATCCCCTGTGCTTCACCTATTCAGCCCTCTCCCCTTCCCAAACCCCTGAAAACCACTGATCTGTTTATCATCTGTATACTTTTACCTTTTCCAGAATGTTCAAAAATAGAAAAAAAAAAAGAAAAGAAAATGAATCCTCCATATGCAATCTTTCAGACTGGCTTCTTCTACTTAGCAATATGCACTTAAGAGTCATCCATATCTTTATACAACTTGATAGCTCATTCTCTCTCTCTCTTTTTTTTTTTGCATGAATATTATT